TGGTGTAATACTTTGTGAACTTAATTTCAAAAGGAGAGGAAAAAACCCACCTTTCTCCTGACAAAAAGTAACAGCTCTCTGCTTTCTATTTAATGTCCCTTTGTAGCTCAGCGTCTCTTCAGATCATCTCAGAGGCTCAATCTTCAGTTTGTTCTGTGCTTAGTGCTTTGTCCTGGCTTGTCCTACATGCTATATAAATGTCTATTGATTCATATATTAATACAAGAATGTTGCTATCTACCAAAGTTTTCTCCCTTTATTATAACTGAACCATGTAATAAAATGGAGATGCAGTTGAAATAAATACCAATTGCTGTTTTTTCCTACTCCTAGCAATTAGGAAATTAGGAAAGATGTTGGAATTATAATGAGAATGCCTTTCTCTCTAGATGTTATTTTCATGACCTTTAGGTTTTCACTTGCTTGAATGAAGTTGCTGTGTTGCAGTTCCATGTGAATGGCTAACGATAGAATTTCATCTTCAGAACTCTTTATGTTGGTCTCTGAACTCTCTTAGGAGTACTTTTAGTACAGAAGCTATGTCTAGGTACAGAGTATGGTCCCTACTAACAGAGTTTAATTCTATTGAAGTAGTTCAGTGCTAGAATATATTCTCTGGGAAATACCTCAAAGACTGTAGTAATAGAGAGTATATGGAATTGGTTTTTCTTTTTTTTTTCTTTTGCATTTAGTCTTTCACCTCATTAGAAGCCTGTCTAGAGAAATCTATCTTTCCTCTGGGCAGTGATAGTCCTGTGCTTCTTGTGTCTAATTAGTCATTTCTATTCAGTTTCTTTTGTGAAGAATTTCTATACAATTCTGTCAGTATTCATAACAACATGCTATGTTGACAAAGCCTCAAGTAAATGTTTATTTTTGTGTCAAATAGCAAATGTCACAGTAGAAAACAGCATGCTTTTTGTGTGGAATTGAGTATAATTTGGTCTATCTGCTCAGTTCCAAATTAAGTTCATACAAATACATGATCAAACATATAAACGATAGCTCCATCTTTTGATGTTAGATTTTTTTGTTTTTATTTTTTCTCAAACTTGTTCTTCGTTTCAATAAATATTGTCTTAATACCTCCTAGGAAATTCTGAGTGGAATGGGCCAGAAGCTACTAATTCTCTAATCTATAAAATTCTATAAAAAAGGCTCATTGCAGGAGTTGTAACATGTCAGCAGCACCAGCAATGACAACATGATGTTGGTAGAAGCATAAGTACCTGTGTGGTGGCACATCTGGGACTGCTTTTTAAATATCTTGGTAATCTGCAGATGTTAACATCATCATTTTGATGAGCAAAACTAGCATGCATTATGAAAGGATTTTTTTTTCCCACCATCAGTATATTAAATACACTTTGTGACAGTATTTCTCCAACCTTTGGGCCAAAGAGGAAATCCTGTGAAACTGCCTGTGCTCAGCATCCACAGCTGCACAGAAAATGGCAGGGATGGATGGAGCTGCCACACTTGTCCATGTGCTTTCAGGGCATTGGCCACCCCCAGAGGATGGTGATTTTTGAAGCCTGTATCTGGGTGCTGAGCGTGCTCTCCTCTCATGATTTACCTGTAGCAGAGCCAGACAGAGGCTTTATTTTTCACTAGTATAAATGTTTTAGGATCGTGTCTTCCATTATCCTGCTTCGATTTTTTTACTGATCCATATATCAAGAATTCCAGACTGCGGTGTCCTAAAGAGCATGTCTCAAAATAACGAAGAGAAACCAGTTCTTGTACTGTAAGATGATGCTTCCTGTGGAGGAGAGCTTCAGAGCTCAGTCCAAATGGGAGACATTTAGCTCTCTTTACACCTGTACAAGAACTGCTCATTCCTTTGGTCTCCCTGTGGTGTGCCAAAGCATAGTGTTTTTGTTTCTAAAAGAAACAAACAAAAAATGTAGTAAGTTTGCAAATATCCTCAGGACCATTCTTGTTACTGACAGACTGCAGTCTGATGCTGCATTCTCTTTATTGCTGGCAAGGAGGGTTGTCTTTCAGAGAACTTCCTCAGATTTAGGTGTATGCTCTTTCTTAATTTTGAGGTTTCTTTTACTAATTTGCAATACAATAACCACAGTGATAAAAATCTTTGTTTTCAGTGAGAAAATGGTTTTTTTTAGGTGATTACAGTGTAATGTTTTTGAAATCTTTCAGAAAGTTTTCTGGATCATGTAATTGACTTTTACAAAATATAAGCAGTGGATAGCTAGTTCTTTGTAAAAAGAGTTTTCTTACTTGTGTGCTCTTGAAAACTGTATGCGTACAATATAAACAGTTTTTGGTTTTAGTAGTCTGAATTACATCCAGGTAGCTACTGTGGTTAGCTTAATAGTTCAGAAATAAGCCTTTCATTTTCAGTTTCAAGAGAAAATTGGTTACTGAATCATTAGATGCCTTGCTAAACTCATTAGGCTTCCTATGAACGGGCAGGGGTTAGTCTGTATTATCTGGAGGCCCGTTCTGTTAAAGGCACCATTTGGCACTCTGTAATTGATGATGTGGTCCAGTCCCAAGTGTGGGCAGGTTTGACAAAAGCCTAATGCGTGGTTTCTGGATCGTACAAGACAAGTAATATAACTGCAGTGTTGTCTTATGGTTATTGAATATTGGATTATAATCGAGCCTGTTTAACATATGATGTACGTTAAGTGCACTTTGACACTTAATGAATAAGTGAGTATTAAAAAACAAACAAAACCCACACATAGTTTGAGGTGGGGAGTGCGGGTAAGAATCCTCTGGTTTCTGTTAGAACGTGCATAAAAATTACATTTCTTACTTGAAGTGCAAATGCTTTAACCTCTTGCTCTGAAAACAGAGGGCTAGGGAAACTTAGTTTCACAATATTACCCTCCAACTTGAAATGACCGATATGTAATTCTGGACAAAATACTGCCATATTTACCTCTTATTCTCTGCTAGGAAGACTTGGAGAAGTTTTATAGAATGGAAAGAGCTTTTTTTTTTTTTTTTTTTTTTTTTTTTTTTTTTGTGATGTGCAAGCAGTTTTTAGCTACATTAAAAAACCAAATGCAACTTATGGAAATAATTCAGCCAAATCTAGGCCAGGTTTCAGGTCTGTGACAGCTCCTGTCTCTCACCTTAACTTCTGGTTCTCTTTCTAAAGGTAAGCAACTTAATGCAGCTGTGAGCTGTCTTTGCATGAGAGCTTATCATCCCTAGTCTAAACTCAGCACTTTCTAGAGGGAAAGAAGGGAATTCTGAGTGTATTAAAACTGGCAATGGCAAGAAATTGACTGTACTCTGCATGGATGAACTTAGTAGACCTTGATGGCTTTTAAGACGGTAATGTAAAAAAAAAAAACAACTTAGGAAAGAAAACAGAAACCAATAATCACTTGGTTTTAAACCAATCTTCTGGTGCTTTCTCGCAGGATGAGAGTGTATGTTTATGCCTTATCTGTTAGCAGGCTCTATCTTCTAAGTAATTTTGACTTAAAATTTATGATTTCTGTGAAATGAGAGAAGGCTGTGGTGTTGACTAAGAAATCTAGGTACGCTTTCTTATATTTCAGTATTTGTAACTGCAGGCATACATGAGCACAGCACGGTCACCAAGCAGCCCTGCTGGCTGTGCAGCACAATGCAGCCTAGTGTAGCTGTGGAGCGCGTGGGGCCACGCTGCTGGGTGTGTGGGGAGGCTGGGGGCTGGCTGCAGGCCGCGGTACCAGTGTGTCCACCTGCAGGCCCTCCGACTTGGTGCACATGCTGTTGTCAGTTGCAGCTCAGGGCTTGTTACAGGCACCTTGCTAGGAGCTCCTGTGATGGCTTTAGTGGCACTCAGCAGTGAGATTGTGGGGTCCTGCTGTGTATTGATGGCCACAATCACTGAAGTTGTCTGCTCTAGACTTCTGCTCTTGAATTTGTGCGTGTAATCAGCCTGTTCTACCAGATGTGCTGCTTTTTCCTCTGTCTTTCTGGTTAGCTCTAAGACATGAAGTCAGGCTCCCTGTTAAATTGGCATTTTCTTGTCTTAGGCTGAAAGTAAGGCAATGAGATATTTTGACTGAGTAAGCAGTTTGAGTCTTACTGGGCACGTGGGATACACACGTTGTGACACCTGCTCTGTATTAATTTCAAAAATACTGTTTTTGTGTAAACAGTGTTAAGCGGGAACATACAGCAATGCTATAATCAGTCCCAATGTAAGTAATCCATATTGTTATGAATCCTCTATAACATGGAGAACTCTGGGAACTCAGTTCCATTATTCAGTTGTTGTGTATGTTCTAATAAAATGCATATGAAGAGCACACTTGAACACTGGAAATATTTTTACTTATATATACTGTATTTGGTTTAGTACTGTATCATGTAGTGACATCTTTATGGAACTAACATCCATGTAAGAGGACAAAGAAGAAAGTAGCCTTTGAATTTAGTACGGAAATCAGGGTGGTTTGAGGATATTAAATCTCTGGTAGATAAAAGGAAGGGAACTTTTCCACGTGTCATTTTCATCCCCTCCTGTGAATGGTGAATATATGTTCATAATATCTTTAGTGTGTGACCGTTAAACTTTCAAACCTGGATTTTATCTTAACAGAAGAAGAAATTTTTCAGAACAACTTTTTCAGCTTTTTCATCTTAATATAATTTTTTTGATTTCTAAACAGAATTAGCTTAAAAGTTATTTTTAAGTTCTCTGGCTTGCTTTCTGTATAGAACTGGAAAGTAACTGTATTTAGACTAATTCTATATCTAGTAGCTTATAATTTTTATTGACATGAAAAAATGGTTTCTATTCACAAAATATTTCTATGCAGAATTGTGTTAGTGCTTCTGAGACTGCAGGGAATGTTCATGGCTGAATCAGAACCAGAAGAAGGTCACAGCACAGTGGAAGTGCTGACTTAGAAAAGAAACAATTGCATCTGCAAATTTTGTTAAGTATTTGTGATCAAAGAGCTGATGTACAAGTTGCTGGTTGTCATGATTTATGCTTAGCATTTTTGTTTTCCTTCCCCTAGTTTCTTTGCTTGAAGAACATAAGGACTTTTCTTTCGGCATGTTGTGAAATATTTGGGATGAAGAAAAGTGAACTTTTCGAAGCATTCGATTTGTTTGATGTGAGAGACTTTGGAAAGGTAAGGATCTTTTAGCAATTATACCCTGACTAAAACTCATGTTCTGCTGCTTAAGGATAAGTCTTTCTTTGTAGGCGTGGTGTAGAAGTTGTAACTGATGGATGGGCAGCCATTAGGGAAAAAAAAGAAGGAGAAGATTAGGAAAACAGATAAAATAAGTTGAAGTTGGAGGTTCTAATAAATAGTGGAGGAAATTTCTGGTAGGAAAATTTTGAAGATGTGAAAGGGGAAGAGTTAAGTTAAAAACTTTTTTTGTATTGAAAGATGATGAGTTAAAATGTACAAGAAACATGCAAAAGTGGCAAAATATGAGTAACTCCTGTGTGGCGAAAGTACTTTTGACTTAAACAAAATTGACAGAAACAACAACGAAAACCAAAGCCAACAACAGTTTGGAATCAAACTGTGGGTATTTTCAATGTAAGACAACGTGGTGCCCAACATGTTTCTTCCTTCTTAACTGCTTGAAATTCGTTCACATATCTTCCTGTGTCAGTTTTGTTTATTGACAATTAGTTTTTTAAGGTGTTTTTTTTAACCCCTTGTAAAGCTCAGATACAGCTACATTGGGTTAATACGACTATTCTAATTTGCACAGCCTGAAATACATTCTTCTTTAAACCTATCACTAGGTATTCTAAATATAAAAGCTTTTTCCAGTATATTGTTCACAGCCTCCCACGTATCTGTTTGATCCCTCATTGCCAGCATACATTTAGTTCAACTTCGGTTTCTGCTTTTGAGTCATAGGGTATTATTACCCTATTTCCACAGAAAATGATGTAGCAGAAAAAATAGCTGTTTATTCAAATTTACTGTATTTTAAACATTATTTCTTTTTTGAAGAGCCCATACTTTCATTAACTAGTACTTATGTTAGTAGACGTGGAGGTAAAGATAATGTAAGAGTGCAATCGTGATTCAGGTCTGCAGAGTGACTGTGTTTGAAAAACTTCAGTTAAGACTATTAACCAAAATATCAAACTACTTTTTACTGAATCTTCTGTCAGGTATTTGTTTAGTAATAGTGAAAAAGAGAGAGAAATCTGGTAATTGCACTTGTTTCTTAGTGATAATGAGTGTCTTTTGTCCTCTTAAATTGTATTTAAGAGGAAGCATTTGTTAAAGTGCAGTCTTTTTACAAATTTAGAGTATAACATGTCTTAAAGATCTAAATTCCTCTGCTTCTTGCACAATCAAAAGGAAAACTAATTGCTGGTTTTTTTGTATTTGTACACTATCAATATCTTTTTTAAGGTATTCAGGCAATCAGATATCCTTAATATTTACTTCAAATCTGATACATAACTTCTAATTAATTGCTGAGATGTTTCATATTTCCCACCACGTGAGCATAACCAGTCTGTTTTCAAAAACAGCCTGATTCTGAAGAAATACTTTGTGATGCAAATTATTATTACTGTATAATTGCATACTAGTAAACAAGTTCTGAATTAAGGCTGAATTTAGCCCAGCACAAATGTTTTTGACACTCTTTAATTGTATTTTTAAGAGTTTATTTTGAAACTTACTTTTATGTGAGTAGAATGATTGGTTTAAAAGCACCAGAGAAAAATCAAAACCCATCAGTCGTCCATTCAATATATTTACTGTTTTATTTATTTTCCCAGAGCTAAGTTAGGTCCAGTAAAATCAGTAAAATTAGACTGAGGCTTTCTTGCTGATGCTGCCACTCTATCACACAATAGACTTTGTATTCCTGGTACTGTTCAGTGGATGTTGTCACGTTTCCTGGAATGCTACCAGGTGAAAATGCATGACAAATTTGAAAGAAACCAGTGTGTGGGAATCATTTATGAAATTACATGTGCAATAACGACTTCTTGTAGGGGTGGAGATAATAATTTTGACAAACCCGAGCAATCCTTGCAAAAGCTGTGTTGGACACACTTCTGGGTGCAAAATGGCACTGTTGTTATGCTGTTGCTCTTGGATGTTTGTATGAATGCTTGCCATGAGGTTGAATGTTGTGGTGTGTTACACTTAGGTATGCTGGTCTTTAGTTCTACTAGCCTCTGCAAATGAGCATGTGGGCAGCTTCCTGACAATTACACTAAAATGTGTAGTTAGCATTATGTTCAGTTATTTCTATGGTTTAACAGTGTCTACTTTGCACAATCAGCTTGAGAATGTTTGTAAGGTGGCATGGAGTTTCATATGATGAAGTGCCTGTTACTTTGGAAACTCTGACTATTATTGCCAGTGATGGGAATAAGAAAACCCTTTTCTGTCTAGTTTTCCTCCTAATTTTTTGAATTAATTATTATTTCTGTGTCTGAGTACTCAAACGTAAAATCTCCAGCCTTCCTGAATTGAAGTCACAGACATACAAAAGGCCAAAAAAGCAGCACCCTACATTTTTCATCTGCTGCAGCCAGGTCATATTGCAATTTCTGAAGAAAATTCCTCAAACTTCTCTCCCTTATGTGCAAAATATGAATGATTATGAGCACAAACATGAAATAATACGGTTTAGAAATCCTCTCAGACACATGTTTTCGGATTGTTGACTGAATGGGTGATGGATGCGTACGTGCAATTTCCACAGCCTGTGAAACATTTGAATATCCTGTAAGACAGACTGTAGTTGAGTTGTCAGAAATTGGCAAGTAATTACCAGTGCTGAGATGTAAATGACCTGTTGCTGAGGTGACCCTTTAAGCCTTACATACCTGGTACTTAAAAGAAAAAAAAAATATTAAGCAATTAATTTAAAAAAGAAAAACAACTGAATTTGTCATCTTATGATCAGATATTCTACTTCGACAGATTTCAGAGACTACTTAAGTACGGTAATGAAGACTACAGGAAAAATGTGTCAACTGTAAATGAGTGATATGCTTTCAAGGAAATAAGCTGGAGTGGAAAAAAACATACGATAGATCTTGTGATGAATACTATCTCCTTTTGAAAAAAAAAAAAAGTACATATATGTATATGTATAATCATACATATGCTTTTTGGAGCTAAGCCTTGTGTAGTGGTTGTAGTAGCTGCATATTGTCTATATAGAGACATACACCATTTATCAACCTTAGGTAATACTGGTTCCAAAGTATTTGAGGGTAATGGTGAAACTTGCATTTAATAGCTGGGGTAAATAAGCTAAGGCTTTCACGTTTTGCATCAAAACATATGGAAATTGGTCTTGAACTTTGTGCTCCACTTTAGAGAGACACTCTGATCTCTGTGATTAAAAAAGGGTGTTTGCAGTTATTTTTATGGAAAGTAGGGTGGAAGCTGAAACAGCAGCACGTAGAAAGCAGGTAACCTCATGAGTATGTCATCAGTGCATAAGTACTGTATGACTGTTGATATCAGCTGTTACACAATGAGGGTTTTCTTCTGTTTCAAACCTAAAAGCACAGATTTTTTGATTTTTAGACTGACTATAAAAGTGATGGGATATGCTACACAGAAACGTTCTCAAACCGTTCTTTCTAGCTGTAAAATCCCCATGTTTTTCCCTGCATTCTGCAGTACTCACCCATCCCCACTCAGTCACCTTTCCTTCAGTAAATTTTATGGTTGCCTTGTTCAGTTCCTGACAGAGCATGAAATGCCCTCCCACGCGTGCGGGGTGCCAGACAGTGTTTTCATTGCAAATTCCATGCTGGAGAGTCATTTTTCACTAGCACAACGTTGTCAGGTTCTTCCTTTATACCTGTGTGCCAGAATCAACAAATAGTGTTGATGCTTGTTCTGTCAGCTCTGGGCCCTGCATGCCCCTCCCGCAGTGCCTGTGGTGTTGAGTATGCCACAACAAATTGCTGTTATCCCTGTTCTCTGAAGAAGTTTCAAACTCCTGTGTGCAGAAATGGGAATTGGGATTAGATCCAGCTCCTGTTGATGTCAACAGGCACTCACTGGCCTCAGGAGAAGTATTAGAGGACTTGTGGAGAAAATGCTGTCCAGATATTGTCAGAAGAGCTTTGTTTACTGTGCTTTTAAATATTGTCAGCAGTGACTGAGCGCAGTGTTTGTAATGATTCAACTCATCTAATATGAACATGTTTTTATTCTTTAACTCTGGCAGTAAGGAACAAATAGACTTATTTTCAAAATAGGTTAAATAACAGCAGGACCTTGCAGTAGGCGTCTAGAAACAATCTACAGTGTTATGATTTAAGCAAAAAAAAAACAAACAAAACAAACAAACAAAAAAAAACTACTACTAATCAAATAAATACCTAATTTTTGAAAAACACTTTTAAAAAGCGTTTAGGATAGTATCTGCTGTAACCAACTCTTCAGTGATGCTTAAAAAGCTTGTTAATGTAAAAGCAAGCAACTGCTGTGAAATTATGGAATGTAAATGCTAAGGTCATGCAGTTTGTGATCGCTGTAGTTGCTCTGTTAGCGCAAAGGAAATCCGGGCTATGATGAAGCAGAAAGTCATGCTGAAGTTGAGGACCCTGGTATGTTAGTATTCCCTCAGGTTTAGCAGATTCCAGGAAGATCAGGCAGATGTGCATGAGTTGTGCACACCAAAATCAACACAACAAAGAGCAATAGTTGTTATGACAACTTACATACCTTCCAGGAAGAGAGAGGAGGAAAAATACTTAGGAAATCTTCAATGAACAAAAATATTTGAGATTAACTCCAGTTGTTTCACACTTCATTAACTCTAATAGTCATGATAAAACTGCAAAATATTAGGGTGTATGTCAAGACTCTGTATTTTTGTAAAGATAATAAAACCTACAATAGGAAATAAAACGATCGCTCCAAACCTGAGCTCAGTGTCACTCTCTGAGTTCTCAATTGATGGAATTTAAAAAACAAACAAACAACTTGGTGTTTGCTCAATAAACCAACTCTACAATTGTTATGTTTTAATGCTGTCAAGTTCTCAGGTGACATGAACTGAACGTTTGGATGTCGTGTTGAGGGATATGGTTTAGCGAGAACCATTGGTGATAGGTGGATGGTTGGACTGGATGATCTCATAGGTCTTTTCCAACCTTAGTGATTCT